CACAAACTAAGAGGTCAAAGTACACAAACTAAGAGGTCAAAGTGCATGAACTAAGCGGTCATAGTGCACGAACTATGAGGTCAAAGTGCAGATACTACGAGGTCAAAGTGGGCAAACTAGGAGGTCAAAGTGCGCAAACTAGGAGGTCAAAGTGTGCAAACTAGGAGGTCAAAGTGCATGAACTAAGAGATCAAAGAGCACTAACAAAGAGAACTAAGAAACGACTTGCTAGGTCATTTTATTTTTTAAACATGATCCAGACCAGTGTTCCCTCCAAGTCTTATTGTTCTCACCAAGTTACACTTACTCAGTGTCAACGTTTGCTTAGATGGAACTTTTAGTACTTCGTCTGAACTAACAAGTTTACACATTAATTAATTGGTGGCCATTCTGTTGTATTGTTTGGTATTGTATTTGTGTTTTCTATGACTGTATACATACATAACACAAGCATGTCACAGTGCTGTGACCTACATGGCCAACTAGTTAAAATGCTTGACAATTTGCTGCGTAAAGCTTCCATAAAATAATTTTTTAGTAAAAAATACCAAATTAAATTTCGGGTACCGAAACATGTGATGTTTTGGTTGTTTTCATTTTTAGCTTCTACTGTCATCATAGATGACAAAGCGGGGCTGTTCATATAGGTGATTGTCTGTCGTCATCCTCCGTCAACAATTACATTTCCATCTTCTTTTTGAAAACTACCAACTCAATTGCTTTGATACTTGGTATGTAGGTACCTTGGGTGGACCTCTGTTAGATTTGTTTATTTCATGATGATATCTTCAATTCTCTATTATTGGTGAATAATTTTGTAATTTTTGGTAAAAAATGCTATTTTCGACTTTAATTTATATTTCAGTTAATTTATTTATACTCCTTTTTTGCATTGTACACCTTTTTTTGTTTAATTACATGAAATATATAATAATAAACATTTAGTCATAGGGAATGACTTGACCTTCTTTTTATGTGGTTTGTTTCTTTTTAGGTGTTATCAGGTCCCGTAGTATCGATAAGATTGGGATGTATTGCTCAGATACTGCTGAGATTTTCTTTGAAGACGTTCGTGTTCCACAGAAATATAGAATTGGAGATGAGGGAATGGGATTCATGTATCAGATGCTTCAATTCCAGGAAGAAAGAATCTTTGCCACAGCTGTTGGTGAGTACTGCCCCCATGTGACTATTATGACATTGCCTTTGTTTTTACGTTATTCGTATCATAGGCCCAGAAAAACTATTTTTGTTTCTGGTCTGTTTTTTTGTAAGGTTTTGCTAGAATCCAAAAAAAGAAATACAGTTCAACCAAAATCAAAGAATAATTTTTTTATAACTATTGTAATTATAATAATTAAACTAACCAGCGTTGATTTTAAACTAATCAACCAGAAACTTTCATTTCTGGGCCTTACATTGTTTGTATTACAATTCTTCACTTTATAAACAACATTATTTTATCTCACGTTCAAGAATGTTGATTGGTCACGTGGCAGTGACGAAATCTGACACGGAAAACCGAAAAGTATTCATTTGCCCGTAAAATGTCAAATGTTGCAGATGCGTTCAAATTCTTTCTTTATTTGGAGAATGAGTGTCGTGTTTACATCTCACTTTCTTTTGTTTAGAATGGACACAGAAGCTTATGTTGGTAATAGAATACCATCACTGAATGCAAACGTTCACATAGCGCAAAATATTTTTGGTTACTATTTTGTTATCTTTATTTGAATTATCATCGCAAGCAAGAAAGATAATACCACAGATAGTACTAGAATGCAACAACATTTGATACGCATCAGTTGAAACGATCGTCGTTCTGCCTGTGTGCCTACTTTGATGAAAAGATGTATAATAATAATAAGGTTTCCACGATAGTACTGCAAAATATGAACTCAGGCAGTACAGGGTTGCAAAGACCTCACTACTTGTCAGTTGATTTGATTGTCGTTCTGCCTGTGTGCATACTTTGATGAAAAGATGTATAATAATAAGGTTTCCACGATCGCACTGCAAAATATGAACTTAGGCAGTACAGGGTTGCAAAGACCTCACTACTTGTCAGTTGATTTGATCATCATTCTGCCTGTGTGCATACTTTGATGAAAAGATGTATAATAATAATAAGGTTTCCACGATAGTACTGCAAAATATGAACTCAGGCAGTACAGGATTGCAAAGACCTTGCTACTTGTCAGTTGATTTGATCATCATTCTGCCTGTGTGCATACTTTGATGAAAAGATGTATAATAATAATGTTTCCACGATAGTACTGCAAAATATGAACTCAGGCAGTACAGGGTTGCAAGGACCCTGTTACTTGTCAGTTGATTTGATCGTCGTTCTGCCTTTGTGCATACTTTACGGTATTCTTGTGATAACGTAATCTTGTAGTATTCGTCTATGTTATTACAGTATTTTGAGACAAACTTAGGCAGATTATTCTAAGTTTTAAGCCAGCCTAAAGATAGCTGAAGTTATGTACCACCTTACCTGGAGGTGGAAATGCAGAATCACTTATTTTATCTTTATTCTTTCGATTTAATTTAAAGTGTATAGAGGGTCGGCAAAGGGTATTTTTCGTAAGATGTAATCAATTGTTTTTATTTTCATAATAATGTAATTTAAATAAATATAAAAACGTAGACATGGGCAAGGTGTAAAATGTAATCAGCTATTTTATTCGTCCGTAATTTGTACAAGGATCTTATTTTTTGTAAGCATATAAAACATTTTCCAATTTTGATTCTTAAACTCAAATTATCGAAAATATTATAAAAATGTAAAATGTAATTAGGAATTTGCTTTATCTGTAAAGTGTAAACACCTATTTTTTACTGTAAATGGAACTTTCATATTATTTCCTGTAAAAACATAAAATGTCGTTTTTATTTCCTGTAATCTGTACCAGCCATCCCCCCTTGCTTCCCCCTCTGTATAGGATAAAAGTAATATTATTATAACAGTGACATTTTTTTTGCATCTTTAGAAAAAGAACATTTCTATCAGTTGTTCAATAAAAGTATAGATAACCAACCCCACCCCTAATCCTAACCATCCAACCCCTCCAGTGCCCCTCCCCTATATTAATTGTTTATGTCTCTCGTCAGGACATGAACAGTACAGAGGGGCATATAAAATTACATTTTATCATAATATTATTTACATACATCTGAATTATTTTTGGGGAAGTCAGTCAAGGATAGGATCCTTTTGAGTAATATGCTGGTGGGAGCCAAACATTCACACCCAAAATAGTATTGTTCGTTGCTGCTGAAATCAAATAAAAAACATGTGATACAACACTGTCACAGCAGATCATTAGGTAGTGTTGATCAGCGAGTCACATTTGTCACCAAATATTCACATGCACAAATTTATGCAAATGTTGTCAAACTACCTATGCTCGGGCGGAGCTACGTCGCAAGATGCACGTTGCTAAGATGCGCATCGCTGTACCATGTATTTCTGAGGGCTCTGCGCGAGCTGCTGTGGAACGCCAGTCGAAGAGCCATCCTGAACAACCAAATTATTATATGTTGCACACGCAGGGGTAATCTTGTTACGCTGTTCAGGGGAGTCTCAACAACCATCTCAAAGTACTGTTTTCTGAGAGTTTTCGGCTTTTGCTTTCACCGGGATGGTTGCCAAGCGGCGAAAATGCCCGGATGTCCGCCCCCGAGAACAGGAATATACAAAATAATGCTATTCAGATTTATAAATTTAATTTTCTTTTTTTCAATCAGCTTTAAAACCTATGGATAAAATAATTCAGGATACAATTGACTACACAAGACAGCGTATGATATATGGACAACCGCTACTTAACAACCAAGTTGTACATTTCAAACTGGCAGAGATGGAAACGGAAGTCGAAATGTTGAGAGCGTTACTGTATAGAACTGTAGGTAAGTGTATCAAATAGTTTCAGTCATTGTGACAACACAGGTGGCGCTATTCAGCACAGACCTGTGTTTTATGACGCATAACTAGCCTCTGACGGCTAAATATCCATCCGCCATCATTTTACTCAGCGTTTCTTCCGCGGAACTATATACAAGTATTTTCTTGTTTTGAACAAATTCTCTCTCGATCAATTAAAATAACGCACAACACTCATCAGAATGTCTCATTTTATAAACATTAAAATGCTTGTAAATTGGGAGGTCAAAGGTCTAATTTTTTAATATTGGCATTGACACGCTGATCGCCACAAACCAACTGAATAGCGCCTCCTGTGTTGACACAATGTAGAAATAGTTCCGACCACTTTTCCCATAGTTCCACGCGCGGTATGTGTCAGATCGGTTGCTTTGCAGCAATCTGCCTGTCAATGAGTTTCAGTATTTCAGTACTGAGGATGGCTGAGGTCAAGGGTCATCAGATGCAGTTTGGTGGTTACATCGACTCGCGGAAATTTTGAAAAAATTTCGAAGTGTCTTAAGTGTGAGAACCGATGTATTTTTGGATGAAGTATTTCAAGTACAATGTGTCAGTTTGCTTCGGTCACCTGACTTTTGACATAAAGCAACCTGTCTATATGGACCACCTGTACGTGACCATCATATTTTTGCAGATTCACCTTAGGAACCCAATTAATAATTAGCGTTCTGTTGATAAAACAGAATTTTTAATTAAACTTACTTTGATTTTGATAACTCAGATATTTATAATGAAAACAGGTTTAACTGTACTAACTGACTCTTCTACCCACTCCTATTCCAGCCATTGTCTGTTTCAAGGGAAAATGTTGCTCACTATTCACGAAAACAATTCCTTGTTTGATTTGATGAGCCAAATTCTGCTGACCTTTTACTTACCTCACTTGTGCAGTATGGGAAACATGATAAACAGCTTTTTTTTGACCTGATTAAAAATCATAACCACCTCAAGAATGTTATTGTTATTCATAGAGTACACATTCAAGGTGTATGATATTTCTGTCTAATCTTACTCATTTCTGTCTAATCTTACTCATTTCTGTCCTAATCTTACTCATTTCTGTCTAATCTTACTCATTTCTGTCTAATCTTACTCATTTCTGCCTAATATTACTCATTTCTGTCCAATCTTACTCATTTCTGTCTAATCTTACTCATTTCTGTCTAATCTTACTCATTTCTGTCCAATCTTACTCATTTCTGTCTAATCTTACTCATTTCTGTCTAATCTTATTCATTTCTGTCTAATCTTACTCATTTCTGTCTAATCTTACTCATTT